GAATGCATTAAAATAGTGCAATCACACAGATTTATTTTTATTTAAAACATTTATATGGCTGCCCAAATTGAACACTGTTACTCTGGGTGACTTACAATTAACCAAAAGACAAAACAAAATTAATCGTTTCAAATAAAATTCCATACAAAACTCTTAAGAGGTGGTCTTAAGAACGAGGTGGTCTTAGGAACTCACTACTAAATACACTCTGGCAAATGAGATTCCAATCATTCTGGTCCTTGCATCTGAGGAAAAAGCCAGATATTTAATTCCTTCATAAAGAACAAAAGAATTAGGGCCAATCCTCTGTTGGTGGGAGAACATTCAAGTGGGCAGAGGCCACAATGGACAAGGCACACTTCTGGGTCCCATCAGATGGCATTGTTTTAACAAAGGACCTCCAGTCAAGAGAAATCTCATTTTTACACCCTAATTTATATTGGAAAATGCAGTTAGGGTTATCAAATTTTGGTTGGATAAAAATTAAAGGCTTAAGAATTACATGTATTTTTTTAAAAAAGAAAAAAAAATGATGATGCAAAAGACATTATGGACCAACTTCATGATGAAGCCAGAATGATTCTTACTCTGTATTCCTTGTGGGCAAGGAATTAGAAAAGAAATATGGGAAATTACTATTGCATATAATACGTGTGGCAAGATTATTGTATGCATAAAAGTTGGAAAATGCAATGAAATGCTTAAAGTGATAAACTGGATAATAAAATTAACTGACCTTGCAGAAATAGTGAAGCTGAATAGTTTGGTCAAAGACAAAAGAATAAAGACATATAGATTTTTTTGTTGAAAGAGGAAAAAAATAAATTGATATTCCAAGATTCAGGGATTAAGATGGAAGTCATAATTGTATGTTTTTTCTTTTTAATTTTTTTCCTTCTTCTCTCGATTTCATTTTCACTCTTTGTTTCTGTTCGTTTTGTGTGTGAGTGTGTAAAGCAAAGCCGAAGTAAGATAAGCAGTTACAGCTTCACTAAGCGACTCTTTCACTCAAAAGCAGAGTTGTTAGTCCCAATTGTGGTCACCAAATAAGGAATATTTGTCATCTCCTCTTGGCCTTGTGATTAAGGTCAAATGGAGAATTACAAATAGCAACCAAATATTGTAATATTAAATACAAATATTAAGGAAAAATCTATTTTTTGCTAAATATCAATTTTTAGATAGAATTTCCTATCCTAAACAAATGAAATTGTGCAAATGATTTCAGATGGGGGAATACTTCATTCTGCATCGCTGGATACATGCCAGTTACTATTAGTTCAATTTTTGAACCAGAAGCTATTTATCTTCTTCCTACTGCCAAGTAGATGACATTTATAAATTCTGTTATGTTATAATCACTAGAATGCATAGGTTCACATAGATTTATATGGTCCGTTAGTGACACTGAAGTTTTGTGCAAGAAGTGATAACAAGCAATCCTGACATTTTACTATATCTAGCAAAATATTCTCATCACTTCATTATGTTTCCGGCTGCATTCTTGCAGAAAGTGACACAATGAATATTTGTAAGTGGTTTGTAGATCATGAGTAACTATGCTGAAAACTTGGCACAGAAGAATGGCTTCAAGGAGAAAAGGCAGTATTATGAGGACTTGGTGATTCCATTGTAGAATAAGCTACCACATTTCTAATCATCCATTGCATTTATTGATATCCAAGATATTCAACGAAAGTGACCTTTCCACTCTGACGTTCAGTAAAACAATTAGAGATCAGGAAAAATAAAAGATAAAATGAATAGCTAAAGTCAAATAATTGTGAATATAGTAGGTAATAAAAGGTCAATAACGTAAAGTGCTAGAAATTGTGAAATTGGATAGATTTAGATTTCAGGTTCCATGAATGAGAAAAAGTCAAATTGTTCATTTGGAAAATGAATTGCTGTACTGTGGAATGGATGCAGTTAACACAAAATGCATTTTTAAAGAATGAAACATTAGCAAGACGTAGAAAATAAATCATTTGATTTTATAATTTGGCCTCTAAAATGAGATGATCAGTTAATTTAGCCCTGGCTAGAAATTCCAAGTATAACTTTCAGTTTAAAAATGAATGAATGAATAAATAAAAGTTAAACCAAAGATCTTCTCCTTCTCCTTTTCCTAATATTAACTCATCACATGTCCAAGTCACCTGATTGAATGAAAAAGAAGAAAAGAAGGAAGGACGTTTGATTTGTCACCCAACATTTGTTTTAGAATATAACCATAAAAAATTTGTTTCTCTTATACCTTTGCCTCCTTTCCTTTGATCTCATCCCTTATCAGTGGAGACCATCCTTTGTGCTTTTAAAATAAACATTGGAATTGTAACAAAATAAGCTTAAAAATCACTAAATTAATTGATATAATTGCTCTTTTTCTATTCATAGACAAAGTCTTTGTTAAAAATATTAAAACAGAACTGAGAGAGTAGCTACGTGCCCTGACGTTCACTTGTTCATCTTAGAAACTGGAGAAAATGTGCTCATCTTAGAAACTATTCATGTGCCAACATTTACTTACAGGTAACCTGCTACATTGATCTGAGAGTGGTACATTGACCTAGAGGTGAAGATGCTTGCCTCCCACTTGGAAAGTGAGAGTTCAATCCTAGGCAGCAATAGATGTTTCTCTAGCAGGGTACAAAGAGAATATATCCGCTGTGAACTCCACCTAGGCATCAGGAAGGGCATCCGTCCAGTAAATATTCAGCTCCATTCAGTCGCCCTGACCCCACCCCGGAGAAAGGTATTACAGGATCATAAAAAGAAAAGAAAAAACCCTGCTACATAGATCTTTCCATTTTGGCAGTGCTGATATGCCTCTTCCGCCTTACAAGAATGATGTGAATTTGCTTTCTGTTCCAGCCACTTGTGTTATAACTTTAAACACAACATGCATTTTGTGGAATGTCTCTGAGTCCCACTTGTTTTCCTTTCCAATGTTTTTTTTAAAGCATTCAATTTAAACTTTTCAGTTTGGTTCACTTTGTATTTTGCTTCCATCTTGGCTATGCTTTAATGCTGTATCCATGCTTTTATCTTTATTTTTATACCAAATATTGTTTTCATATGCATAAGCTACTTGTGGGGAGAGTATAACAACCTGGAAAGTAGAATGCAGATATGTACATATTTTTAAAAATAATCTAATAAGCTTCTTTAAGCATTGCTTTAGAATAGCTCATATTGGCTTTAATGTGAACAAAGTAGGAGCTAGTGCAATACAGATGACTGGATTTCATCTAATTATTTTAAACCTGATTGTACAATGTTCTGTAAATCCTTTCTAGTTTGTATGGCAAATAATATGTACAATATAGCACCTCCATCCTGTGCCTTCCAAAAGCTGATTGGGGCATTCAAATCATAAGAAATTCCACCTCTCCGAACAGAAGAACTTTAGAACAGAACATATCCAACCTCTAAAATCATTTCTAAAATACCTCTCGTAAAAGTATACATTTCTGNTTCAATCAAGAGAGTACAAATGAGCAACGTGGTACAATATGGAAAAAAAGCATTTTCAACCGTTTATAAGTGTCTTAAGTCTCACATATGATTGCATGCTGCAAAAAAATCCCCAAACCAGCCTGGCAAAAAAAAAAAAGAGATATTTTTCCAGAAAATATAAAAAGAATCACAAATTCATGCCATTTTACATTTTTTTAAACCTGCTTTCCACTTCAGTTGTGACTCAACTTCTGAGATAATAATTTGGGTGGGGGGAGGAAGAGGGAGAGAGCTGATGACGCACTTGGTTTTTTAATTATGACTTTTCAGTTCCATAGCCGAGGAAACCAAACATCTTGTTTGATTTTTGCAACAGCACTTGAAACTAAAGTTCATCCTCATTGTCTATGAATTCAGACAAATATCCTGTCTTCAAAAAAAAAACAACAACATAGACATCATACTTAGGACCAATTTCTTAATGTGATTAGGTTTTATAGATTTCGGATTCTGGCACTACATTCCAGTTTTTGTCCTGTGGCTTTTGACATTCACGTTTCCCCAGGTCTACCTGCTATGTTTAGCCAAAAGTCCGAATGCAGTCAGCACCTGATCTTTTGCAATGTAAATAAGAATCAAACGAATAAAACCCTTAAGAATTAATTAGTAGGATTTATGAGGCCATCTGTGGAACCATAAAATACTGGGAAATTGCAAAAAATGGTTTTGTCTTTGCTTAAACTGTGCCTCATTAAGGGCAAAGTTGTAAATTACTTACTACTGTGCGGGGAAAATGAGGCAGTAGCAACCAGTCAGGCTAGGAAATCAATGTTACATAATAAGTCATAGGTGTCTTATATTGTCTTATTGGGCAGAGCGATTGGATTTAGTGAGTATCAAGAGATTTCAAAGTGAACTGTTAACTGGGATAGCTAGCTGTGGGCTATTTTTCCATTATGATCTTTGTGTGATATCTCAGCAGGTAAAGTACCTGGCCATCCTTTGTCAGGGCATGGAAGTTAAGCAGGGTTGAGATTGGTTAGTAGTTGGATGGGAGACCAGGTTGTAATTCAATAGCTTTGGATTATACCCTTGTGACCTCAAGACTGGACTACTGTAATGCGCTCTACATGGGGCAGCCCTTGAAGAGCATTCGGAGACTTCAGCTTGTCCAGAATGCAGCCGCTCGAGCGATTGTAACGATTCACCCACATTACACCTATCCTCCACAAGCTGCACTGGCTGCCTATTGGTCTCCGGATGCGCTTCAAGGTGCTAGTCGTTACTTATAAAGCCCTACATGGTATCGGACCTGGGTACTTGAGAGACCGCCTCCTGCCAATTACCTCCCAAAGACCTATTAGATCCCACAGACTAGGCCTCCTCCGAATTCCATCCGCCGGCCAATATCGACTGTCGACTACTCAGAGGAGAGCCTTCTCTGTGGCTGCTCCGGCCCTCTGGAATGACCTCCCCATGGAGATTTGGACCCTCACCACCCTTCAGGCTTTCCGCAAAGCCGTCAAGACTTGGCTGTTCTGGCAGGCCTGGGGCTGATGAGTTCCCAGCCCCACTCGAATTGTTGTGACTGTTGTGAGTTTTAAAATCTGTTCTTTGTAATTTGTTTCTCATCTTGTTTGTTCTTGTATTGTTCCCTTCCCCTTGGTTTGTTAGCCGCCCTGAGTCCCTCTGGGAATAGGGCGGCATACACGTTTAATAAACCTACAACCTACCTACCTACTCAGAATTCTAAAAAAAAGTCCTAGAAAAAGCAGTGACATATGACTTCTCTCCTGTTACCTACAACACTGTGGGTCGTTACCTGAGATAATGGTAATTACTAAAAGTTGAGGTATACCTAAAAGAAGTTTTGTGTGAGAGATAGAGAAAGGAGTGAGCTTTAGGAAGAGAAACTTCAAAACTGGTTAATTGCACGATTAATGTAAAGTATTCAAGTAAGTCCACTCTATAATTTTACAATCTAAGAACACATCTGCTCAGATTTTCTTTGGGCTATTACAGTGTCCCAAGATGATACAACCTGGAGATTAGAAACAGAAGTGTCAGGTGTTGAGTCTCAAGTCTAGTACAGGATTCTGCTAACTTGGGTTAGTGGCTTACCACCACTATTAGTGATACGTAAGTACAAAGAGACTTGGCAATTCACCTGTGAGGAAAAAAAAAGATTTCTCACTTGAATTTATAAAATTGCATAGCAATGCTGTGAATATGAGCCTCGGTAGCTCAGTGGTTAGTACTGCAGGCTACTTCTGCTGACTACCGACTGCATGCAATTTGGCAGTTCAAATACCATGATGCTCAAGGTTGGCTCAGCCTTCCATCCTTCTGAGGTGGGTAAGTTTGTTGGCGGCAATATGCTGACTTAGAGAGGGCTGTAAAGCACTGTAAAGTGGTATATAAGTGTAAGTGCTAAGGGGTATATAATTAAACCAAGGATAACTGATGTGGAATTCCAGAAATAGCCAAATGTTTACACATGTACTGTAATTAATTGGCTAATTAGCTTATCTCAATCCTCTTAATTCTTTTAAATTCAATAAACTCTAGTTTTATAGATTTTAGATGAACTTCATAACTTCATAATGTTACATGCTATCTATATTGGTTAAGTGGTTTTTTTTAATGTTCACTGATATTTATATATTGTATTGGTCAAGGACTGAAAGTACTATTACTACTATTGTTGCTGTTGCTGTTGTTAATTATCTTGACTGTTGTTGTTCAGTCACTGTCATGCAAAACGTTTTGTGATCCCATGGACTACAGTGCACCAGGCTGCCATCCTCCACTGTTTCCTGTAGTTTGCTCACACAACTTTGTTGCGTCGATGACACTATCTAACCATCTCATCAGTTGTGGGTTTCACTTATTTTTGCAACCAGTTCACCCCGTGCACACATGCTCGTTTGTGCGCATACATCGTCCGTGCATGCGCCTGGCCTTCCATGCATGAACTTTGCTTGCACATGCACCTCAAAATGTGGCTAAATAGGATGGCATAGCACCGGGGCAGGGCCACCGGCGATCTCCACTACTGGTTTGCCCGAACCGGTCTGAATGGCTGAATACCACCTCTGCATCTCATCCTTTGCTGTCCCCTTTTCTTTTTGCCTCCAGTCTTTCCCAAAATCAGGATCTAATTATCTTTACATTTAAAATACTTAATGTGAAACAACATTTTTTTAACAAGCCAGCAAACCCCCTGCAGATAAAATGATTGCTTTTCTTGAAAGATGATGGCATTTAGCAAGGACAGAGGCATATCACCCATGAACACTGGGGGAAAGATCTGGGGTGACATTTCCTTGCCTCAAATCATCTCTTCCCTACCAGTTTATAGCTAGTAGTTTAACTGTGCCTGGACAATACAATGGGATTATCCAAGAATCATGTGGAAGACAAAGTTCCCCTTAAAAAGGAATTCAGCTACATCTACAGTATCTTGAAGAAAACTGTTTTCTCCACCATCTGCTGGATTCTTTTTCAGGTGCAGTGCAAAAATGACAATGTCATTTTTGTAACGTCTTATCTCATATTGGTTAGAAAAGAGAAGTTTCTCCTCTAATTGCCCACATATAAAGCTGTCCCTCAACTTAGATGATAGTCTGACTGAATCCAGCAAAATCTATTTCTTAGTAAGCAGATAATGGATTGTTTGCAAAGAAGATAAAGAACTGTTACATTAAGCATTACATTATTTGCATTAGGCAAAGTCATAGAAATTATAATGTCATAGGAATTACAATGACATCACACATAATGACACCATTAACTTCTCTTGTGATTAATGACAAGCAAATCATGCAAATATATTTTAATGTTACAAACATTGCTGTTTCTCCTCTAATAATTAATGCAAATCAATTACACTACTATTATTTGTTTAATATGATCTACTGTACTTTTTAATCCTAATTTTAACCACTGAAATGGTAGATTGAAAATAATTTTGAATTTGGGGAGTTAGAAAAGGGAAAGGAACCAATAGCAATAAATTATTCAAAAGACTTTTCATAATAGCTTCTAAAATCGAGTAGCCTGTGTTTTTGTACTTCATACTTGTGTTCAACAGATGAAAATATGCTTGATATTCAATATATGAAAGCACCTAATGTTGATCTTAGAAAATGGAAGTTAATATTTTTTTTTTGTAAACTGAGGTTAAAAGTACTATAGACCTGATGTGCCCCTTTCAAAACAATGTTATTATATTCCTTCCTTCCTTCCTTCCTTCCTTCCTTCCTTCCTTCCTTCCTTCC